GAACTAGATACTGTAACAAAAGATAATAATTATATTTTATAAATGACATAATGGCTACATTATTTGTGTGAGGCACTCTGTAGCATACCTAGCTAGCAGTATAAGCGCAACCAAGTACCTAATCTGGATTCTGACTTAAGATTCAGTTTAAAGTATAACTGAATTTAACTTTTAAGTTTTAAAATATTTTCTTTTTACTACATCATTATGAGCTTTACTTAGAAAATTAATAAGAATTTAACCTTCAAAGCTGGATGCCATAAATATAAGCCTCAACTGGTAATAGTACTTTGTTAAAGAAAAAAATTCTGACCACTTGCAAAAGTGAGATTTTTTTCTGTGTAGTGAAAAATAGTGGAGAATGCTACATTGGCTTTTATAAATTAGCAGTATGGGCCTGGGGATATAGCTCAGTGGCACAGGCACCTGCCTGGCAAGCACAAGGTCCTGAGTTCAATTCCCGGTACCAAAAAAACCAAAAAGAAATATAAACAGTATGAAGTTTAGAGTGGCTGCTACAAACTTTAAAGTGGAAAAAAAATTATATATCTAAATGTTTATATAGTGGCAAAATAGATTCATAAGTAATAAATTTCTTTTAAATATCTGCTGTATTTTGCAATGATATCAGAGTGGTTTATTAAAATTTGGTGGGACTATCTTGTCTTTTGTTCTTGTCTAGATGAATAGCAGCTCTTTGATATTTTCAGGTAGGTAGTGTATTGTTAACTTTAACAGAACTTCAGTTAGGATACTAGTTTTTCATTTCCCATTTATATAGCTGAACCCTCTTACAAAATACAGAGAAAATCACTTAACAGATTCATTTATATTTTGTGTAACATTAATAAAAGATGATATATCATTAACCACTGCTTAGTAGAGAAAAATTTAGAAAATTTAGTTCCTATTCTTAAACTGTCTTACTCTGGCCATAAAACAAAATACAGGCAAAACATGGACAAATGCTGGATGCAAATATAGGTAAAAGAATGTAGAAGAGTAACTTTAGAGTAACATTAGACCCTGGAGATCCCAGGCTATTTTTAGATGCTAAAAATGAGACAATTTAGTGAGAAATAAATCAGATAGTTTATCACTAGTAGATTGTGTTTTAGTCTAACAAACTTTAGCCACTTATTTCTGTGTCTAAAATGAATTAGAGTTGAATTGATGTGATACAAATAAATTTTCAAAGTCCCTTATAACTTTTTCATTGGTATACAATAACAGTTTCCAATATTTACAATTGAAAGGGTATACTCATGTCTGTACTCATCAGAAACTTGAAAATGAAACTTGTAACAGCATAGCTCTTCTTTAGGATAAAATTTCTCCAAGATATTATCAATTTCTTGTTATTTGATTTTCTTTTGTGATTATTTTTAAAGAAAATGAAAGTGAGAGTGGTTATTTATGTTTAGTGTTTACTTTTAAAGGCATGATCAGTTTGTAGCTTTGTTTTTTAATTTTCCTGTGGAATACTGGTTATAGACTCTAGCAGTTAATCTACGTTTAAATAAAAGTGATAAATAATAAAATCTGAAATAACCAATTGAACACTTCTACTTTGTATAACTAAATTTGGCTCTTTTGTGGATACAGAAATTAATTATTTAAATAAAATTTAGGACATACAGAAAATTTACATGAGAGCATATTTGAAGCCTCCAGCAAGTGAATCCAACTTTTCTTTTCTTTTTTTTTTTTTGTTTTTTTCCAGTACCAGAAATCAAACTCATGACCTTGCGCTTGCCAGACAGGTGCTGTGCTGCTGAGCTAAATCCCCAGCCCAATCCAACTTTTCTTAAAGCACATTCTTTTGAATGCGAAAAGTTTAGGGTCTTGCATTAGAAAGCTTGCTTTGGAATCCTGTCATGCCCATGAACCAGGAAAGAAGCCAGATCCTCACCTCTAGTTTTGAGTAAGAAAAAAGTGAAGATACCCCTGATTTACTTAAGATCCCTACAAGTTGTGATGATACACCACCCTGCTAATTGGTTTCTCATTTTCTAATTTAGGAAGCTGTGCCATGATCTTTTATATAAAAGCCTTGTAGCCTGCCCATGGCCATAGTCCCAGGCATTTAGTGGTCAGCTTTTCTCTACTCAACCTAAGCCTAAATTTCTTTCTGTCTTTGTTTTCTGTTCTCCAAAGTGGGATTTCTTCTCTTTCATTCTTTTCTTTTTCTTTGTTTCTTCCTTCTTTTTTCTTTCTTTTTTAGTTTTTGACAGGTTTACTTTACAACTTACAAATTATTTTCCTCAGCCATGTGAAAATTTAAAATTGTGTTACAGAAGATCAAGTTGTGCCCTATGCAAAAGTGCTAGCATATTCCCTTACAAAGGAAATTCTTTTGGTCATGGGAATCTGTGCTTCACCTTTCTTCTTGGTTCTGTCTGGGTTTTCACCACTGGTGTTGCCACCAGTTAGTACAGTGTTGCCTTTTCCTTGTCTGCTTCTCTGACTTCTGTTTTTGTACTGCCTTTGTAAGAGAGATTCTTGTGACACCCTCGTCCTTCTCTGCCAGTGGATAATACTCTACTTCTTAAGGAAAGTCTGGCAGCTGTACCTATCAGTTTGAACTTACAGAATGACCCAAAATGTTAAAAGGCAAGGAAAATTGGTTGAGATTCAAACCATTTTGAGGAGATAAATTTAGAATGGTTGATAATGGGGAAAGATTGGATTGGGAAATAAATTTTAAAATTTTTTCTAGATTCAGAGCAACTGGAAAAACTTAACTTTGAACATCATTATTGCTCTGTTTTGTGATGCAAGGGGAACTTGGTTTCCTTAAACAGGTGTTTGTACCAATAATTGATAACAGTACCAATAATTAAGGTTAATCTGTTACTAATATGGAGTAAGTTGTGTGCTACTTGCTGTGCATGTGTAACCTCTGATCCTCACAGTTGTGCTGTTGGGTATGAACTAGCATCATTCTCAATTTGCAGAAGGTCACCTTAAAGAATGGTCACCATAAAGATAGAATTTGCAGAAGGTCACCATAAAGACATTTCCTAATGTCACATAAATAGAAAGTGATCTAATTCGAACACACCTGACTCGGAAGCCTATGTTCTTACCCTCCTGGATATCCTTCCATCCCTGTACTCATCCCGCGGATGGCTAACAAACTGGTAACATGAAAAGCACCCTAAAGGCAAATATATATATGGAGGTATTATGCCAGGAACTCGAAGATAGATGCCAAAGGAAAAGTGCTAGAGAAAGATTAAGAGAAAGAAGAGAGATACCAGTATTCTTACGGGTTTTGTATTTGTAGATAGTAGGACTTGATTTGTAAAGAGACATTTAATTATATGTTACTTGAATAAGGATTTATAGGTCCTTGGTATTTTTATTTATATAGACATAGGTATATGTATTTGTCTAAATAATTGATGTAATCTAACATACAGATACTATTTGAATGTCATCAACACTGTTACTATATAAAGGTACTAGTAGGATTTTAAAATACAGGTTGTTATGTTTGTTGTCATTAAGGTGACCTGTTTATGCTGATCGGCCAATTCATCTGTTCAACAGATATTTACTAAATGCCTGTTGTGAGCCAAACATGGTGTCAAGCCCTGGAGATTTATCTGCAGACAAATAAGGCAAAACTCCTGCCTTAGTGATTTTATTAACCAATATGAAGATAATCAAGCAAAAAATTATAAGAATGAGTAATCACACAGTATTGTGCCAACAGTGGGACTAATTGTAGAGATCACACCAGCTTACTGTGAGAGAAAGGGAGGCTTTTTAAAAATGTGCTGAATACAGAATCGTGATTCTTAGAATTTCCTTTAGTTGATTAGCCATGAGCACATCATTAGAAATACCAGCAGAACCTTTTAAAAAATACCTATCCCTTGGCTTTCTCTAAGTGATATACTGTTCAGTTTGTGGGGAGGCCAGACCCCTGTGTTTTTAAAAAGTGATCTAGTTATTCTAATGTGCTTCCATTGGTGGGAACCACTTGGATATCATTTCAGACGTCACTCTTAAAATGGAGCTTGCTGACAAGAATAGTTTTTGATGTCTCTGAGAGAAGTTACTACCGGGGAAGGGAAGATTTGGGATAAATACAGTTAAATCTAAATGAAGCACACACTTAACATATAAAAGTACATTCTTCTGTGTTAAGGTTTTACAACTTCCCTTAGTAAGACTAGTCACTCTGGACTAGTAAAGAAAGTATTACAGTATCTCTTAGATGTTATTTAAAGATAGTAAGTGTACAAAATGGTTCCCATGGGCTTCATACTTGAGTCCTACATAGAAGTGTTAATAGTGGTACAAGGTATACACAGTAGAGTACTTGCTCATGAACACACAGTGATCTAAATTCTCATCTTCTGTTGAGAGATGAGGATATTGAACGGCTGAAGTGTTTCTCATGGGTCAGTGACTAGATGAGAGCTAGTGAGTGACCGTTAGGGGGAGATTTATAGATGAGAATGGGTGAGTGGAGGATGGCGACTCCTCTGTGAGTATGAGTTCTAATGGATCTTATCTTGTTATAAGATGGAGCACACATTGTTTCATGTTTTAACGTCTTCAAGGAAGAGGTTGTCATTTTTTTTTCTATTTTTTAAAATAGAAGGTTTAGAGTTCAGCTAGTTACATGTAAATCATTGTTCAACTTAGTGTACGGGAAACAAGATTTCCTATGCACTGTCTAAAAGATTTAGATAATAAGATATTGAGCTGCAAGATATTTTTAGTGTGTAGTTCCTTTTTGTTTCATTTAACTTGGTGGTTATTGTTGACGAAACTAGGATCCAGACTAAGTCAATTTTCCCAAGTAAAATGACTAGTTGAGGATAGAACGGAACTGTATTTAACGCTTTTGACACCTAGATAAGTGCCATTTCCACAGTAACACACTGTATTACCCTTTATATTGCAGAATTGTGCAGTTCTTTCAATTTGAATTTTCTAGTGTAGTTTTCTTTTATGTTTATATTGCAATTTATCTCCTGAAGGTCAAGTAACCTGGTTTGGTTATGAAAGTCCTCGTAGCTTCTGGGACTACATCAGAGTGGCTTGCCGGAAAGTTTCACAGAATTGTATCTGCAGCATTGAAAATATGGAAAATGTCAGTTCTTCTAGAGCTAAGGTAAGAATTAGTAATTTGCAGTGTGCGTAATATAATTGTAAATAGTTTTGATGTAAGTAGGAAAGCTTGGAACTCTGCAGTTCAATAATGTTTATTTTCTTTCTTTGTTGAGATTAAGCACCTAAGTTTACCATCTCAGAAACTTTTTCCTTTTTTTCCTCTGTTTTTTCATTTCATGTAGTTATTTTAGAATGCTCTTAGCTGGGCATGGTGGCACACACCTGTAATCCTGGAACTTGGGAGGCTGAGACAGGAGGATTACTGAGAGTTCCAGGCCGGCCTGGGCTACAACAGCAAGACCCTGTCTCAAAAAAAAAAAAAAAAAAAAGAATGCTCTTGAGTCTTTACTTGTTGCATCTTAAACTATAGGAGGATATGGAAATACTACAAATTTCATTTTAGGGTGCACAAAATCTTTTTTGTTTTAACTTACTGAATTATCTAAGCCAGTGAGTCTCATTGTTCTGAAGAAACTTGGTGCCTGTGACCCTTTCTGTAAGGGTTTTTAATCTCAAAACCATTTTTATATAATCCTATGTTATTTGCCTTTTCTGCATTAACATTTGCATTGCTGAGCACAAGCAGTGGTGCCTGAGTGTAAACTGAGGCAGTAGCATCCAACTGTACTACAGTAGTAGCATTTGAGTCTTTCCCTACTATATACTCTATACAAAAGTCAGCTTCACCTACAATGCCCATAATAGTGCAGTAAACATTGACTTTATTAAACCTCAACTTTTTAGTTTGTCTCCTCGTAATATCTAAGTAACAAATAGAAAACATGCATAAAGCATTTTGATAGCACATTAAAATTTGTGTTTGCCTCAAGAAAGGCATTTGTGTGATTCTCTGAATTATACACTGAACTAGATGCTTTTTTTCGTATAATACTAGTCTTGCGCTGGGGATGTAGCTCAGCAGCACAAGGGCCTGCCTGGCAAGCATGAGGTCCTGAGTTCAATTTTCAGTACGACAAAAAAAAAAATACCAGTCTTACTAGAAATAAACTTCCACACTGTAATTTGTCAGACTCAAGCATTTGACAGACATTTTCTTGGAAAAAAATGAGAGAAATAAGCTTTCTCCCTGAAGAAGTTACATGAGGAAACAGTTGACAGCACTCACTGCCAAAATTAAAGCTTTAAGTAAAAACTAGACTTTTGGAAAACTCGCACTTACCACCTTATACTTGATAACTAGATGAATCTTGACAACGGTTTTTCTGGTAACATTGATTGCATATTAACAAGTATATCTTTAATTATTTATTAACATTTGGTAGACCTGCATAGATTATATTTTCCAAATGAGTAGTTCAAAATGAGAATTACAAAATCATGCATGGGAAAAGATTAATTCAAAGTGTAAGGTAGACCAGTAGATTTAATGCACCATAATAGTAAAAGGTGTTTGACTTGGTTGCATATTCTACTTTGCAATTAACTTTTAAGGAATTATCTCTTACTGAGTTTTGGTGTACAACCAAAGAACATCTACAAATATCTGAAAAAGCTGCTGAAAGGCTTCTTTTCCAACACTTTGTGTGAAGCAAGATTTTCTTCATATACTTCAACTAAAAGAACACATTATAGCTGATGAAATGCAGAAGCAGATATCTTGTTCTCTGTTATTATGCCAGACATTAAGGAGATTTGAAAAAAATGTAAAGCCAGACTTTTCTCACTTGTTTTTTAAAAGTCATTTTTCATAAAAGAAGATTTAATGTGTAATGGGTTACTTCCTAAATTGCCTGACATTTTAGAATTTTCTAGTCTTGTAATATAGTAAATTTTAATAGATATAACCTATATAGAAGGTCTTTTAAGGTCCTCAATAATTGTTACTAGATTATAAAAAAAGTTTGAGCTAAGTCATATCAGCTTCAGTTTAGGGATTTTATTTATGCTATTAGGTAGCCATAAGTAGAAAATAAAGAGTGGAAATAGATATTTACAGTTTGAAGATCAAGACACAATTCAGTTAATTATGTTAGAAATATAAAAACATAATTCTATCTTGGATGAGTTTGTATAAATTTTCCCTTCATGTTTTCCTTATGGTTTAAGAATATCTTGATTTTTTTTTTTTTTACGTTAAGATTAAAAAGACTACTTGTAATTTGAATGAATCAAATCTATAAAAATAAACATTCATGGTACACAAGCTTTTTTATTTTCAGATTTAAAGTAGGAGATATATATGCACCAGGTGCATTTCTTCAATAGAGGAAAACGTTTATTTATAGAACTAGTGGATCCTCAGCATCTAGGTGACTGAAGAGCTGATAAAATTAGAAATGGAGCATTTGGACTTGCGTGGACCAAAAAAATGGGGACCCTACCTACCCAGCGCTCTTAAGGAGGTTCTTGGGGCTAGTCCCAGCACAGCAGGATGTTGCCCAGCAGAGTTAATGTTTATTCTTTTAAAATTTTGTGTTGAGCATCAAAACACCTTAGAAGAATCATGTTCCAAATCCTGCATTTTAACTTTTTTTGCTCAAGCCTCAAACAGATTCTAGCTAGTAGAGAGAGATCGATCTTTGATTTACCTGGCTATGCTGAGAGAAGTGTGAGGGCACAATGTACTCAAATAATCACAGCTCCTACGTATCAAGATTGAAGGATCAAACACATACGTGAATGGCAGGCTTGCTGCACCTGGAGCTGCAGTCTCTAATGACTTAACATGTGTTGCGCTTTGGCCCTGTCTTGACATATGTGAAAAATGTATCACAGCTAAAGCACCAGACTTGCTTGATAAACAATATCCAACTCTACTTGGGACCAAAATAGTTTTACTTTTTAATACTATATAAGGGGCCAGATTTAGTTTGATTATACTTTTTAAAAAAGAGAATAAAAAATGATTTAAAAAAACATTAGAAACAATACAGAATTTCAGAAAACAAGATAGCAATTCAACAATGGTTATTATCTTGCATGTTGTTGTCCTCAAAGTAGTTGTTCTGGTTACCAGATACAGGCATGCAAAATTGGTCAAACAAATTTAAGCTTTATTTTTTTATTTTTTTATTTTTTTGGTTTTTTCTCTGGTACCGGGAACCGAACTCACGACCTTGCGCTTGCCAGGCAGGCGCTTTTGCCACTGAGCTAAATCCCCAGCCCCAAATTTAAGCTTTAATTGGTTCTTTCAATAAACCAAGAGAAATTAGTAGTACAATTATCTTAGCTATCTTGTGTATGTATATTTCTTTCTTTCTTTCTTTCTTTCTTTCTTTCTTTCTTTCTTTCTTCTTTCTTTCTTTCTTTCTTTCTTTCTTTCTTTCTTTCTTTCTTTCTTTCTTTCTTTCTTTCTTTCTTCTTTTCTCTTTCTCTTTCTCTTTCTTCTTTCCCTCATCCCAGTTGTTATTTTTGAACAGTTTCTTTCCCTTTCAAAATATCTATTGTACCTTTTAGATTTTATTTACTCTTTCAAGTTCTTACACTAGGGAGACAATACGGTGTTTACACATGTGAGTCTGCTTTATTTTACTTATGAGTATGGTCTCTAGTTGCATCCATTTAGATTATACTTTTAGAGTTAAGCATATGACAGTTCAAATAATGGAAGATAGAGGTGATTATGGACTGGTTGTGGAGTGATGACCAATTTGGTATAGAAACATTTAAAAAAATTTTAATTTTTTTTTTTTTTAGTGTTGTGGATCAAACCCAGGGCTTCATGTATGCTGAGTAAGAGCTCTGTCAGTGAGCTGTACCCCCACCCAATTCATTAAATTTAGGAGCATTGAATCTGAATTGTCTGTGTCCTGGAGCCACTGTGCCACTATACAGTATTCATATGGTATTGTAGAAACCTGTCACAATGGGAGATCTAACACTTAATCTCCTAGTTTAAAATGAAATGCACTCCATTCCATTTCTTTGCCTGACCTGTGACAAGTTGAGCCTATTTCCCAAGATTTAAACATAGCTTAACCATAGAATAGAATGTTTAGACTGAAGATTATGTCTATAATCTTTACATCTAGGTTGTATTTACAGTGTTTCTATCATATGCAAGGATTCTGAGACATGAAACTTTTGAGACATAAAATTACATAGGTTTCAGAGTAGATTCACAAACCTTAGAAAATTGACTTCAAAGTACATCAAGTTATTTCACTCTTCTGAATCTTCACACAGTGAAATTTTCCTCATCTGTTCTCATGCTAATTAGTTATAATTACAGGAAGCATAATTTTTATATATTCATATGATCACTGACAAAAATCACTCATAATTGACCAGTTACTACTGTTACTGAATTTGCATGTATTTGCATTGGGTTTTGTTAGTATTCTTACTGGTTTCAAATTCAAGAAATCCCCTTCTCCCTCCCTCCCTCTCTCTCTCATTTCAAAGTATGAGCTGTGTGTTGTTCTTGAGTTCTTCCTCCCTTCCAGCACACTTTTTGTATGGTTTTCACTCTTCATTTTTAAGAGTTCTTGTTTTTTAGGTAAGTTTGACTTTCCTAGTTCATGGTTGTTTATGATATACATTTCTTTTATTATTTAGTTGACATTATTGGAACAGTTTCTGCGTAGTAGTCACATTAACCATTCATTTACCCATGCATCCTCCCATTCAGTAAATTTTTATTGTGTGCCTACACCAGGTCAGATCTGCATGTAGTCCTTAATGCAGTCTCATGGCATAGATCCTAGTCCTACTCTTCCTGGTATTGTTTTGTTCTGTCTTTTGTCTCATTGCTTACTTTGTCTTTTGTTCAGTAGCTGGCCTTGTCACTGCTTGGTCTCAGAGATAGGTTAGCCACTGACAGAGTCAAAGGTAGAGGGGTGTTAATCACAGATGCACCAGGTATATCAACCACTGAAACTTTACAGTAAGCTACTATTGAGAAGAGACCATTTCATTATTGTTTTCTGTCATTGACTTACAAATCATTTTCTCCTCTCTTAACATCCACTTGATGTTTCTGGACCCCGCTGTTTTTGTGTTGGCATAAAAACTGGAAAATGTGTGGAGATCTTGAGAAGCTTAAAAATAGTTTCACAGGCAGAAACTAGAGAGATTCTGATTCTACTCATTTGTTTTATCCTTGTAAAATACTAGCTTTAGATGGATCTTTCTTATACATTGCTGTCTTTATATCACTTTTCTCCCCTTGGCACTAGTAGTTCCAGTACTTAGTTAGCTATGAGCAAGTTACTTATATCCTTCTAGCTTATCCATTTGTTCAACAGTACATATTGAGTGCCTATTACATGACTGTTATAACTGTTATACTGGGGATATAGTGGCAGGTGAATAAATGGCAAAGAGCAAATGCTATGTACGTTACATTATAGTAATACAACAAACAGATTTACACATACACACAATATAATCTCAGAAGCTATGAAAAGAAACCAAAGAAGAGCTTAAAAAGTGATAGGAGTGGTGGTAGAGGGCACTTTTCTTAGGTTGTTAGAGAAGTCCTCTCTGAGGAAATAACATTTGATTCAAGACTTGAATTAAGGAAAGAAATGTTCTGTGCAATTACTGGGCAGAATAAACAAGATAAAGGATAAACGATACAGTCATGATTAAGAGTTTGGAAGTTACCGTCAGTGAAGTGGGTGCTATTTGAGAGATTTCTTCCTTAGTTAGAACAGTAGAGTAGTAAGATTTGCACTTTTAAAAGGTTCACTCAGTGCCATATGGAGCCTACACAAAGGGAGGGCTGGAAGCAGAGAACCTAGTGAAAGGGGCAAAATTGGAGTCTAAAAGAGAGATGCTTGTGGAGGTAAGAAATAATGTTTCTGGTTCCAGTGACAACGCAATAGCTTGTATCAGAGGAACTGTTCTGTAACAGTGATTATAAAGGTTGGATAAAATACACAAAGCTACAAGTTTGAGGCATAAGATAAGAACCAAGCCATGAGAACTTGAGTAGCCACTATGCTGAGAGAAAGATTGAGCTGAACCCCACATTCATATTGGCCTTACCCAAGGTCCTGTGTGTTCACATCGTAGGTGTGGAGGTTAAGCACAAAGTGGTGGAGGTGGGTGTTGGTTGTCTTTTATTTATCTTGGCTATAGAAATGTAAGTCGGCACATGGAACTGCCAGTGGAGTCATGCTGTAGAGAGAGTATCTCCAGACAAAAATGTCTGAAATTGTGCATTTAGTATTGCTATGAGGTAGCTATCAACTGAGCTGAAACCAGCAGGTGAAATGTGAAACAGCTAACTAAAGATTTGACATGCTTGTTCTGGAGTGATAGAGGTCGGAGTATAAGGACAAGCAGCATGGAAGGGTGCTGTCAGCACTCCAGGTTTTCATTGGAGGCTCCAGAAGGGTTTCACTTGGGATAAAAGAATTTAGAAGGTCACCCCTAAAAAGGCCTAAACGTGGTGCCATAAATGATTCAAGACAATTTTCTAGTATTTTGTATGCTTCCCACCCCCCAAAAAATTTACTCTGGTAAGAGATAGTAATCAGAATCCTACCACCTTTTAAATAGTATCCATTATTCATCCCAAACTCATCAGGTATATAAAGATCAAATGACTGAAACCAAGAAAAATAAAAAGGGAAACTGAAAGAGGAACTGTCAGGGAAATCAGGCAGGTTTCACTAGGTCTGTGCTAGAAACAGACCTATGAGTGATAAAGATTGTACATTTTTAAGTAATTAAAAAACAAAGTTAATTAAATGCGAATACTACTAGAAAACTGGAATTTTTAAAGAAAGAGCTAACTGCAAAGGGTACATTCTTATCAGACACACAGAGGACTTACACAAAAATTCATTCCTTTCAACAAATTTCACAGGATTTGAATCATGTAAAGTATGTTCTCTAACCACAGTGAAGTTAAGCTAGAATTAATAAGAAAAATAATGAGAATATTCTTTATTAGTGAAATTGGAAAGAACTTCTAAATAACTTACTTATGAAAAAGGAAATCATGAGATGGAAATATATGTGGAAAGTACTGATAATAAAATGCAGCATATAATAAGTTGTACTTAGAGGAAAATATTTTTCCTCTGTATATTTTTGTATATTTTGTATATTTTTATAAGAAAGTAGAGGCTAGAAATCAGTGATCAAAGCTTTCATCTCTACAAGTTCTTAAGATAAGGAATGAGGTGTAAGTGAAAGAAATATTTCTGGTTTTTTTGTTTTGTTTTGTTTTTCTTCCGGTACCAGGAATTGAACTCAACAACCTTGCACTTGCCAGGCAGGCGCTGTGCCGCTGAGCTAAATCCCCAGCTCCAGTGAAAGAAATGTTGAAGAGCAAAATTTTAATAAAATTTAAACAACTATGTACTAGAAGAAAATCTAAAAGTTAAGAGTTTATAGCAAGACTATTGAAGAATATAAAGAATATAAATTATCAATATCAGGAATAATAAGAGAGCCCAGTATACCCTGTAGACATTAAAAATCCCAAAAAAGAATGTTACTAACTTCATTCTGATAAATTTGAAAATTAGATGAATAAATTCTTTGAAAAATGTCACTTACCCCAAAGCTCACATAAACAAGAGGAGGACATCTGTATATCTTGATGCCTGCTAATGATACTGCATCTACAACTAATAACCTTCTCCTTGTGAGCTCATTTTTTAATTGAGTTGTCTTTTTATCACAGCTTTTAAAAGGCATTTCTGTATTTTATGGATGAGAGTCTTTTGTTAAATACATTTATAATGCAGACATCTTTTACCCACACTCTCTGAAATGATGATAATTCACTCTCTGAAATGCTTTTCAGATTTCACTCTCTGAAATGATAATAATTCATCTTTTACCCACACTCTCTGAAATGATAATAATTCATTCCCTAAAATAGGAAAGTAGAGTATATGAGCATTAATGCAGTTAGATTGGTCAGCGTTGAGAGAAACTGAGTTTCCTCTCTTTGAATGATCTCTTTTTAGGCTATGTAGTGAGTTCAAGGATAGCCAGAACCACATAGTGAGACCTTGTCTCAAAAAAAAATGTATCCTTTTCTTTCTTCATATAGTAAAGTAGAGATAGTATTGTAACCTAACACAATTTTGGGGATAAAAATTTTGTACATTAACATTGTAAGGTGCCTAAAGCTCTAAAAATAGGACCTATCACATATTTATTCTTAAGAAGTACTGACTAGCTCTGGTATTGTTTTGAAAAACTCTATTGATTCGTCATTAATTCTTTAATGTAGCTCCAGCTTTTCTGTTTCTTGACTCCAGCAACCTTTATGTCTGTTTTTCTTATATTCTAGTAAAAGTTCTTTGGTTGAAAAAGAAATTGTTAAAATTGGCACATTTTCTCACTAGAGAATTCCATACACGTCAAGGACAGGAAGCTAAGTGCAGTTAGTTCTGTGTGAATTAAAATTAATAAATTAGGAAGCAGGAATTTCCCATATTTCTTATCAACAACAACACAATCTCCTGTGCCTAATTTCCTCAAGGTAGCAACTTTTCCTGCTTCTGTATTGGTGACATTGTGGCCTTTTGATGCGAGATGTCACTATTAGTTTCTGTGTTTTTAGAGGAAATTTCAAGAGAGAATCTTGAGCTACTGGCCAGCTAGTGGCTTGCCTCTTCCTTCCTCTGTTCCAGTCAGCCACCGCTTATTTTAAGTTCTAGGCTTACTCAGAAGGAACAATGGGCCGAGCACAGAGAAAGATGAAAGAGGGGTGAGCTTGTAGGCAAATTGACTGACCTGCCAACTGCTTCCACATTACTCATGTTCTTTCCATTAGTACTGCTGCTTTTAGCCTGACTGGTTTTGTTATTGCCTAGACTGACTCCTTTTTGGCCTTTTCTAGCCAGCAGTTTCACTAGACTTGTAGACATTTTCATGGGTTATTCCCCTTTACTGGTCCTCGGCTCTCATACATACTGTAGTGTCACCTTTATTCTCCACTGCCACTGCCAGGTTTCAACTTTCTATTTAGTCTTCATGAATTTTTCTGGAAAATTGGGAAAAGGTTGAATGAAAATGAAAATTACTGAATGTTAAAATTATCTCTACAAGGAAATCTTTTATTCTGAGTAGTCTGTAAGAAATACTTAGGAGTACTTAAAGATTGATGAATCTCAACTATTGAGAGATATTAATACTTTTCAGTACAATGAAATTGTAGTAACAATTACTTGTTTCTGAGACTCTGTCTCAAATATACCAACTTCTGGATGTTTTGTTCTATTTTGTTTTTTTGGTGCTGAAGATTGAACCCTTTCTAGGCAAGTACTCCTACCCTGAGCTATGTACAGTTTTTGTCTTAAGTTTAAATATTTGGTAATAGCTTTTAGAACTTTCAGGGGGCTCCAGATGAAGCAGCTCATGATTTGGGTGTATGATTCATCATGTAATTTGGAAGTTCACTGTTAGTTGGGTTAAAGCTTCTTCTGGAAGGACAGGATGGGAAATCCTCTTAAGTGGTTTTAGAGCAATTAGTGTCAGGAGAAGACCCTGTTCCTCATGTTTTATAAGGAGACTCATTGTGAATTAAAATACTGACTTGAGGGTTGAAGTAGAGAGTTTTATCCTATGATTATATTATATCATTCAAAACAAGTCTCTAAGTAACTCAGTATTAACATTTTGCCCTATCGGAGGATAGAAAGTTAATTTGAGATGCTGTACCCTACACTTTCTGAGAAACAAAGTACACAGTCTGTATCTTCAAAATTTGCTACATTTATCTACTTAAATATTTTTGTTAGTCTTTATTAAATGTATATTTCAAATGAATTTTTATTTATGTGTTAAAGCACTTATATTTTCAGTAGCATACTAGGCAAAAATATTTTTCATTTTTTTCATATTTCTTTCTTCTTCCTTGTAGGGTAGAGCCTGGATCAGAGTAGCACTCATGGAGAAACACTTATCTGAGTACATTTCTACAGCTCTGAGAGACTTCAAAACAACCAGGTTTTAAAAATCTTTAATTTTCTAATAATTTATTTGAAAGAATCACCTTAAGAGTTAGGAATCATAGTAGAATGCAGTTATTTAGTTTCTAAAGCCTTCAGTTATTTTATTTCCTCCTTTTCTTACTGCTCAGATAAATTCAGTATCTTCTAAGGGAAATGTAATTTGTCAGCTAAACATATATTTACCTACGTTTATGTAAAACATATATACATTATGGCTGGAATATCCTTTTTCTGAATCATTTCTGATTCTCAGTCTTTCAACAGTTGAATCTTTATTCTTTCTATAGATTTTTCCCTGACCAATTTAAAGAATGATCTGTGAAAAAAAAAAAAATTTTTTTTTTTGTACCAGGAATTGAACTCATGACTATGCTTGCCAAGCAGGCACTTACGCTACTGAGCTACATCCCCAGCCCTGATCTGTGAAATTTCTATAGATTCTTTCCTCTTTTTATACTATAGTTTTTCCTTATTTCTTTGTTTATAAACAATGTAATTGAATCATTTATATTTTTGTTTATGTGGTACTGGAAACTAAATCTAGAACCTTTTCACTGAGCTACATCCCGGCCCTTTTTATGTTTTATTTTGAAGTAGAGTCTTGCTAAGTTGCCCAGGCTAGGATCTATTTACCTCTCTAATTCATATATATCTGTTTGTCTGTCTGTCTGTCTGTCTGTCTATCTATCTATCTATATTTGTGTGATTGTGGATGTGATTACTTGACTGTGTTTTTAGAGTAGCCTATACAAGTGACTTTTTTGCATTACGTAGATTTAAGGGATAATATATTGGGGCCATGTAAAAAAAGGACTTTATTAGTTTTTTATGATGATAGAAAATAAGGTCCATTCAGGACAACAGTTGTTCCTGTTTAGCTCTATTTTGCTGATTGTATTTGTTGTTGAGGAAACCACTTTTGTCTGTATCAAAAATATTTATGCATGAAGATATGTAATAATTTCATTACTTAGACACATGCTGTCTAATGCCGCTAACTACAAGCCAACTACAAGCCATAGAGTTCCAAATTTAGTTCTTCAGTTGCTATGTCACATTTCAGGTGCTTAGTAGCCACCTGTGGTTAATGGGTAGCACAGATATAGAATATTTTCTTCTTCACAGAAAGTTCTGTGGGCAGCACTGCCTTACATGCTTGTAAATTACCATATTTATTTCTACCTTATTAGTCTTATTTCTGTAAAAGAAGATTAGATAGTGACAACTGTAAACCAATTTTGATATAGCAAATGAAGCAACAAGAATTCATATTTCTACAATTCTCAGTTTTCATGTCCTAATACTTTTTAACATTCAAGATGCTGAGAAAATCTATACAGAGTTATTATGACATGGTCTTTTAGTTAAGTAGCTAGTACAGTATTTTAGTTAGATGATTCTATCTTGTAGGTAATGAAATAAGAAAATTAATTTGGGAGATGTAGAGAAAATGATCATGATTATAAATTTTTCCAGGATAGAAAGACTTTTCACTAAAAAATTTGCATAAGTCATATGTAGGTATGTATAGATTGCATTATTTTCTAACAGAATGATGCTCAGACTATTTCTAAATATGGATACATTTCTGTACTCATTATTTCTAGGAAATGAGTTTAATATGAAAAATAAATAGAGGATATTAAAGCTTTGAAAATAAAAATAGAGCATAATAATGCATTGTAGTTAACCTAAAAATCCTAGGTTAATGAAATCAAAACTAAGTTTATTTAAGAATCATTTTTTATTGCATCTTTTCTAAATTGAAATTAAAATGTTAATAATCCTTATAAGTTTTAGTCTTATTTCTTAGTTGAAATGATTGCGTGGGGTAGAATAATTCTTCAATAGCTTGTTTCTAGAATAAGTAGGTTAAATATTTAAAGCAAAATGTTTGTTGCCTTGTTTATAGGTGTAAGTCATGCTTTTTGATAAAAGGAAATGATTCAGCTCTTAAAAGTCTATGAAGTAAAAATATTCTTATAATAATACATAAATATACTCTAAGCATGATCTTAGGCTATATGTGCAGATACATATACACACATCTACACACACATTTATATGAATAACAATGTTTACATGTGAGCATAATGGTTTTGTAATTCCCAAGAAAGGAAGTAGGTGCAGAGTTATTTCAGAATTCTCATTTTAGAAATAAAAATGTTAAAAAATAAGAAGGGTTTTCCTTTTACTAGTTACACTGTTTTACTGAAATAACCAAAGAAACTTTCAATTATAAATAAATTTAAGTGCAAGTCTCTAAGCAAACAAATATATTTGGAAGATTAGATTTGTGAACTCTAAATAAAGTATTGGAAAGTATAGTTGTACCTTACCTTTTATGTGGATGCTTCCTGAAACAAGTGCTTCTAATAGAATGAGAAGTAGTCTCTAATCCTTTAGGAATCTTGAGAGTGTCTGCATCAACTGTATTTCTTCTTGTTCTGTCTCACTTCACAGACAAAGAGTAATGATGCCCTTTAAAATAGTTATCCAAGTATTTATGCTAGTACAGGAGGAGGAGCTACATGAGCTAAGGCAGGCAACTTTGAAGACACTAAGCAGTGAAAGTCCAAGGATAAGTGTTGGAGGAGGAGGAGTGGAGGGGAGTAGAAATGCAAGTTTTCTTAGAGTGCATGACTAGCTGCAAGGGTTAAAGGGATGAATGTGGTCTTTTTGCTAAGGTGGAAAATGTCCTAGAGAGCAACTGAAGAAAAAAAAAGCTACCTTGAAGAGTTCCATGGTTAGGAGGTTGGATATTATTAGGAAGTAGAGTACTGGAGATGGGAAGTTGGAAGAGTGAAGATTAAAATCTAAATTTTAAAAAGAAAAGAAAAAGTAAGTGGAGAATTGCTTTGGTCTGATCCTGGGGAGATCTGCAAGTGAGAATAAAGTAAGAATTGAGTTAATTTGCTCAAAGTTTTAATTTCTCTCTACCTACAGACTGAAAAATAATTAGAATTAGAAAAGTTAAACTAAAAAATTACACATGTAATATTGAAAATATTTTGGTAAGAACTTAAAGTAACTGATAAGGAAAATATAAAGATAAAATTGGCTTTATGGACTCCCACATATTAGTTTACAGTTAAAACACAAAATTAATTTATAATAACAGAGTTGCATTCTGAAGAAATGTTAATTTACAATATTTTAACAATACTGTAAATTTTACAATATTTTAAAATGAAAGAGTAAAGTATGAAATAAAATTTTGTAAAATACTGAGTTGTCACAGAAAGATAATGAGTTAGTAAACACTTCTCTCAGTTTTAGAAAAATAAATAGACCAGTCAGTAATAAGTTACCAAAATCTTTAAGGAGTCAAGAAAGAGTTTTGAAATGTGGATATATGTAAAGGTTTTACATTAATGTAATCTTCTTATATCCAAGGATTTCCTTTCCATGGTTTCAGTTACCCAACATCTGAAAATACTGAATGAAAAATGCTGGAAGTAAATAATAAGTTTTAAGTAACTTTTGTTATGGTCTGTCATTAATAATTGTTCTATTTTATTGTTGATCTCTTACTAATTTGTAAGTTAAACTTTATCGTAAGTATGTACTATAGGAAAATTATCTTTCAAAACCTATTCAAGGGGCTGGGGATTTAGCTCAGCGGCAAAGCGCCTGCCTGGCAAGCGCAAGGTTGTGAGTTCGGTTCCTGGTACCGGAGAAAAACCTATTCAAAAACCTCAAATGGATTAGACTTAAATGTAAGATGCTTAGAAGAAAATACAGGTGTAAATCTTTGTTTTGATTGGGAAGTAATTCCATACGATAGCAAATATACAAAGAACAAAGAAAAATAGATAAATTGGGCATAATCAAAATTTAAAACTTTATGCTTTAAAGGACACCAATAAGAAAGGAAATAGATGACCCACAGAATGAGAGAAAATTTGAGGGAATCATATATCTGACAGTCTAGAAAGTATCTGGAGCATGTCTAAAGAACATTTGCAACTAATTATTAAAAAGACAGTCTATTTAAAATGCACAAAGAATATAAATAAGCATTTCTCCAAGGAAGGTTTACAAATAACTAATAAACATTAAAATGAATTCCAACATTAAGCTTTCAAGGAAATATAAGTCTAAACCACTGTGAAATGTTGCATATCATCTAAGCAGGCCATACTCGAAAGATCTCATGATAACAAATGTTGAAAAGAATTTAGAAAAATTGGACCCCTCACACATTGTCAGTGGGGGCAGGGGGAATGCTGTAGCTACTTTGAAAAACAGTTTGACAGTTTCTGTAAAAGTAAAGCATAGACTTACCATATGACCCAACGTGGAACTCATGTGTGGATGTAAATGTGTCTCTTTGTGTATATATCTATCTCCAAGAGAGTTGAAAACACACTTAGAAAAAATGTGCTAGGCATGGTGGTGCACACCTGTAGCCCCAGCACTCAGGAGGCTGAGGCAGGAGGATTGCCACAAGTTCAAGTCCAGCCTGGGCTACTTAGTGAGTTCAGGGCCAGCCTGAACTATGTGACAAGACCCTGTCTCAAAGAAACAACAACAAAAAACCTTTCCACATATATTCTCACCAGCTTCGCTCATAATGGCCCCAAAGAGGGAACAATCCAAATGTCCTGATAAATCAATAAAGTACAGTATATTCATTTAATGGAATATTATTCAGCCCTAAATGAATGTAGTACTGATACACACTTAACCATGGATGAATCTTGAAAACATGCCAAGTTAAAGAAATCAATCACAGAAGACCAGATAGTATAGAATTCCATTTGTTCCACATTATGAAATATCCAGAATAAATAAATCCATAGAGACATAAATAAAGTTAATGGTTTTGTAGACTGGGACTGGGAGAGAGGTTGGAGGGAAGCAAGGGGTGACTGCTAACACGTACATGGCTCCTTCTGCGGTATCGAAGGGTGTTAAAATTGAGGTGATGATGGCATGCTGACTCTGTGCTTATAGTCGATGCCATTGAATTGTACTTTCAATGCAGTTGAA